AAAGGGTAAATAAGAACCAAAATACATAATATGAAATAGGAAGAAAATGTTCATATGGGAGGGGGATCTCAGGAGGAGGAAGGGAGAAAGAAAGGAAGAGATAGGAAAATGGAGAATAGAAGGGGGAAATAAAAAGGTTTTTTAAATAAAAAGGATAAAGTGGTTTAAGGGAGAAGACGGAACTGGAGAAAAAAGAAAAACCAAGATATATTATGTGCAGGTCCAAATCTCCTGTGATAAATATGATCATTGTGTGTACATTTGGGTACATTTGCACCCAAAAATAATAAAATGCTGTTAAAAACAGAATTTCTTTCATGTTTGCAGCTTGTCTTCACTAGCATTTCACTACCACCAAGGGGTGCGCTTCAGCCCCGTGTAATAATTTCCATGTATTTGATTCAGCATTTCAGGTTTAAGAGAAGATATATTGGAGGAATCAACCAGACTCACATCCAAGCCTTGGTTTTACCTTGAAACTCTCTAAACCATTAGCCCTGGTTTCTGTTTTTAATAATAATGTCACAGACCTAGTGCTTGAATACATAGTAACTTTTCCAATTCACAGCATCGTTAAATCATCCTAAATCCCACATGTTTTAAGCAAGAAGAATGATTAAAATACCTGACACTCAAGAACAGATGTCAAGGCAAAACTTGGAAGCTTAAGCAGGTTTTCTCCAGGAGTTTGGAATAAATACACTCTGATGAAGAATGCTGGCTCGTGCTGGTTGAAGATACCAGAGGGCTATAACCAGCTCTGCCCCAGGCTCTTCATGAGAGACCCTAGCAGGCAGAAAGAGCACCCTCTCAGCCTCCTGCTAGGTCTGTCTTTGATCTTGTTGCTCATTCGGTTCATTAAGAAAAACTGTAACTTTTACAAAGTATCCTAGTACACTTTGCATCCCTCAGATTTCTGTGTCTCCCTACATCCTGGTTTTTTGGAAACTGGGGAACCATCCCAGTGCCTTGCACAACTAAGCAAAAACTCTAACACTGAGCCTCACCACAGCCTCCCTGATTATTTCTGATTTATCACTTCAGTAGTGTAAAAGTGCAATTTTATTTGAAGTATGAATCTTAAAAATATTAGAACCAACTTATGTTCCAGATCATATTTCACATGAAAAGGGAACCATGATCCCTGTGTTCATTTGTGGTATCATCTGGTTACTTCGCCATTGGTGACAGGTCACACGGCAAACCTGCAGACATAGACACCCTCACCATCCTCACAGAATTCCTCCTCCTGGATATCTCAAGCTCCCAGCAGCTCTACCTCCTGCCTGGTCTGATGATCTCAGTGATTCATGTGCGGGCTCCTGCCGGGCATTTGCTGACCATTCTGCCATTGTGATGGAACCAAGAGCATGCTTTCTAATGTCCTTCGAAATACAGAGTTTACCCCTCATAGATTTTGGTTACATTTCTGTTATTGCTCTCAAATCACCCATAAATTGTCTGACATGAAGGAAATGGGTTTCTCTTGCAGCACGTGACACTCAGACTTCCCTGTTTCCTTTAGATCCACAGTGTTGTTTTCCTGGGCTTATATCCTGCTCTGGCTCTGTCCCCCTTTGCACCCTCTGCACTAGGGGCTCCTTGTGACTTAGGGCTGTGTTCACAGGCAGCAGGGGGCTCTCGGGCCAGTGGCCTCGGTTATTCTACTGACCCCACAGGGACCCTGCAGGAGTCCAGGGGGATCCATCACTATTTTACGTCATGAGCATCTCATCACAGGCTGCTCAGTTTTGCCTCATGTCCCTTGATGTGCATGTTGGTAGCATTTGACTCTGTTCTGTCATCTTGTTCATTTCCTTCCTTAATATCTTGTCAAGTGCTCTGCAGATGTGCTCTTTAGGGCCCCAAAACAGGCCCTGTTAACCTGACTTTCCAGGTAACTACCTTTATTCCTTCTTTGATTTCTTAACTTTTTACTTGTTTGAGTCCCACTTCCCATGTATCCAACATTCCAACCCTGCTCACCCCATGTTTTCCACCAGGGACCCTATCCACTGAGACCTATCCTGGAGGAGTACAGAAGGTGAGTGAGCAAATCTTCATCCATATTTACAACCAGTCCCAATTCCTGGAGTTCCCTCCTATCAGATCAGCAGGAGCATTCAATTCTCACAGAGCATGAACCCTGCTGTGACCTGCACAGAGGAGGGACCTAAGAGTGCCTCCTGCTGAGAATCTCCTACCTGATGATCTGAGGTAGAGATGAAACAATGATGCTAGCACTGAGGAGCAGCTGAAAATACAGATGAGCATTAGCAGAGGTTCAACTGCACAGGGACCATGATAAATCAACTGCTTGCAGGTTCGTATCAGACCTTATCAGTAAGTAGCAAGTGACAATTGAGCTGCATATGGTGCTGGGTTTATAGTGGCTATAGCTTGATGTCCTTCATTTGTGCAGCTGCATGTGGTGGCAGGCTCTAAAATCAGGACCTGAAATTTATTTTAGCTCCTGGGTGGTACATCCATTATTTTATTTACTGCTTCTGCCTGCTCTGCTCTCCAGCCTGCACACTTTTCTCAATCACAGTTTTGGTAATTTTAAAAGCTAACCCTGGCCAGGGGTTTAGTTCAGCAACATAAGAGCCTGCCTGGCAAAGCATGAGGCTGTGAGTTCAGTCCCCGGTACAAAAAATAAAAAATAAAAAAAAGCTAACCCTTGGCAAAATGAATAAAATACAGACATCACTGTAGAAGAGTCAATGGTGAGACAGCAGTAAGATTGCAAGAAATGAGTGGCACTTAATAGAAAATGCCAAGAGTCTGATTTAAATACAGGTTCACTAAGACAGATGACTCACACTCTCTGACCCACTTTGTATAATGCCTGCTGATTGGCTCTCCAGTCAAGACTGTTTCACCACAGGGAGACCAAGCACCCTGCATTGACAGGCAAGCCTTTGATGTTTTACAAAACAAAAAACATGAACACTAGGAAGAAAAGCAATCCTTGAAGCCACGATGCCATCAAATGTGTCTGCACTGACAGCACCATCCTTCCTGACTAATGGCATCGCTGAAGCTAAGGGCCCTTCACTGCTGGAGAAGGGGGGACCCTGCCTGCACCCAGGCACATCTGCCCTGAACCTTCTGGAGAGGCTCCATTGTAAACAGTATCGCATGCTCCTCTTTCAGCAAGCACCATCGCCAGGCAAATTGATGAAACAACAGAAAACACTGGTGGACAAATGTTAGGATTAACAAATCACCACAGAACACAATCCAGGTCGAAAAGACGACATGGCTGCTGACCACAAGGCCACGGTGCATGCTTTTGTGTGATGCAATTTTCAGAATGATGGTGTGAGAAAGTTGCCAAACACCAAGCTACAGAAGTATTCAAATGCTTGGATGATTGCCTATCAGGAACACTGAGTTGCTCATTTTTTGGCAACTACATATTATGGACAGTCAGAACAGCTGCCTTGACTTGAGGCCATTCTGGTTCCACTGCTCAGGTAAAAAAATCTCCTCTGAATGTGCATCTATGCATCATGTCATCCACAGAGCAAGAAATAGTAGCAGAAGTAAATTGTGCAATAAATATAGTACATTCAAAGCACCCCCAAGCCACCCACAAGCCCTCAGGGTCTGTGGAAAACTTTGCTTCCATGACCCTAGCACTTGGTCTCAGTGTATACGTGTTCTATCAAAAGCCAAGAACCAAAATCTCATGACTGACACTTAGGAATCTTAAGCATCATTTGTATGTGAGGCCATTAATTGTTATTAATGTGAAAAACTAGAAATATAAGATTTATTTTCTATTTGTGGAAATAAAATTTTTTCAGTACAAGCATTAGTAGTACTTGTCTAGTTCCAGTTTTTAAAAGTCACAATAGTTCTCTTGTTCCCAGTTGATGTACTGACAGCAACCCCCTCAAATCCAATCCACTTGCCAGACCCAAAGAGCACGTACACGTTCAGTGGACAGCAAACACAAATGCCCAGGCTAGTTGCAGAAGCTGGCTGCATTTTTAAAAAGTAAAGATGTCCTTCCTCATGCCATATCAATCACCATGACCAAGCAGTAGAGTGTTAAAGCTGTTTTCAAGCTCTTAGTCATCAAGATTTGAATGCCCTGCCCCTCTCTTCACATATACTTTATAAGCATAACTTGTATGATGTTTTCCCCTCTGTGCAGAGATAGTGGGATAAGAGTCTGAAAAGACAGAGGCTATTTTTGTCTCACCCCTGTTATGGCTGATACTGTATCTAGATGTCCTATCAAATCCTTATGCACTCATAGGTGGAGCTTTTGGGGGGGCTCTGGATCATGAGTATATGACACTTAATTTGCCCACTGATGGCTGTAGTATATTTCTGGGTGTGGATGATGGATTAACTGAAAGGGGAAGATCCTACCCTTGGATTGGGAGGCACCAACCAACAGGCTGGTAACCTGGGTGGAATAAAAAGGGAAAGGAAGGAAAGCTGGCTGCCTCCTGCCTGCTATGCCATGGACAGTTTGTCCCCTATGATGCCCCTCTGCCATGCCATCTTGCCTTGGAGCCAGCCAATTATGGACTAAAGCCTTCACAAGTTGTAAACTCAAATAAGCCTCTGCTCCTTTAACTTTGAGTCTCAGGTGTTTTGTCTCGGCAATGAGAAAGTAACTAAGCAAGCCCTTCTCAAATGAATAAGAAAAACACAAACTGACTAAAATAGTACTATGCATTCTTCTCAGCTTATTTTTAAGTATCAGACAAAATTCAATAGAGACCAGAAGTTATGGAAATACTTGCAACTAACACAATAAATTCCACAGCACATTTGCATTTTATTTTCTTAATTTGTACCTTTATGGAGTGGAGAACACACAACTCATTTCTGCAAAGTATTGGTTAACCAAGCAGGATGTAATGTGGACAGTGCTCAGGGAACTGCTTGCCATGAGAAAGGATGTCACCAGGACTGGACAAATAGTATCCTCAGGGCTGCATGCATGTCTCTGTTCCTCAAACAGTACACGACGGGGTTCAAGCTGGGTGTGAGGATGGCCCCTCCTCGGTGGGTGAGTACTGGGCAGTAGGTGTCAGGTAAGCAAAGCTCCCAGCAATGTAAAACAGAATGACCCAGACGAGGTGGGAGGAGCAGGTGGAGAAGGCCTTCTGGCAGCCACCCGCAGAGTGGATCTGCATGACATTGGCAATGATGAGGACATAGGGTAGGATGGTGAGGGCACAGACCCCGAGAATCACACACCCCACCACCACAAATCTCACCTCCTCGATGGCACAGGCATCCCTGCAGGAAAGCCTCATGATGGGGGAGCTGTCGCAGAAGAAGTAATTGATGATGTTGGGCCCACAGAAGGGGAGGGAGAAGGTGTTGATGGTGTGGAAGATGTCATAGAGGACCCCACTCAGCCAGGCCGCCACCACCAGCTCATAGCACAGCTTTCTGCTCATGATGCCATACAGGAGAGGCCTGTGGATAGCCAAGCAGCGGTTGCAGGCCATGGATGTGAGGAGGAAGCACTCCAAGGCACACAGGGTCACAAAGAGGAAGAGCTCGGCCATCCATTCCCAGAAGGAGTTGACGTTGGAGCCTGCAAGGGAACTGGCAAGCACCTTGGGGACAGTGACTGAGGGGTAGCACATGTCCAGGAAGGAGAGATTCTTCAGGAAGAAGTACATGGAAGTGTGCAGGTGGCTGTCCCTGGTCACAGCTGCAATGACAGAGGCGTTGCCCAGGAGGGCAAAGAGGTAGATGAAGAGAACGAGCACGGCACTCATGATTCTCATTTCAAGCTCGTCTGAGAAGCCCTGCAGGATGAATTCAGTCACTGTAGTGTCATTCATCATTTCTTACTCAGGTCTAAGCACACTGAAAACAGCAGAAATGTCTGTGACATTTACTGCAAAAGATAACTCAAAGTGGTCCACAGAGCAGCTAAAGAGTCCAGCCCAGTCATAGTTCATGACTCCCACTGGCTCTGCTGTGTCTCTTGTGACGTCTCTGCTAAGCCTGGGTAACAATGAGTACCTGGTTATGCACATAGCAAACATTGCAAAGGCCCTTGGTATCATATGTTCAGGAATTAGCCACCCAATGACGGTGGTATATGCTCCAGTATACAGATGCTGTTTGAAAGAAAGAGCGGGGAGAAGAGTGCAGTTCAAAAGCTCACAAAGCTGAGCAGAGCCCGTGAATGCTGGAGTGGGTCAGAGCAGGAGGTTCTCCTCCAGAAAGGCATCCTACCAAGTGCTGCCTGTGTGTGTCATCATGCAGTGTGCATCCCAGTGTCCACATTTTATAATGGAAGTAAATGTTCTATCAAATGGATGGATGGATGGATGGATGGATGGATGGATGGATGGATGAACAGATGGATGCCTAAATGGGTGGATGGATGGCTGAATGGGTGGGTGGATGGATGAATAAATTAATGAATGGATGGATGATGGATGAACAGATGGATGGATGAATCAATGAATGAATGGGTGGATGAATGAATGGATGGATGAACAGATGGGTGGCTGAATGGGTGGATGGATGGTTGAATGGGTGGGTGGATGGATGAATGAATCAATGAATGAATGGATGGATGAACAGATGGATGGATGGATGGATGGGTGAATGAATTGATGAATGAATGAATGAATTGGATGGGTGGATGGATGAATATATGCAGAGTATCTCCCTGTTCCACCCAACAGAACTGTGGGCTCGTCTGGACCCCTCAGTCACCAGCCCTTCTCCAGCAGTGCTGGCCTCACTTTGGACTGAGCTCTGCAGAGCTGCACACACATCTGGCCAGGCTCAAGACCCACGAAAGAGTAGGTCCCACCTTCCTCTGCCACATTCGGCTACTGTGTGCTCCTCTCCCTTGATGGCTGTGGTCAGCATCCGCAGGACTTCCCAAGACCTGTGGCTTTAAAGTAAGAACCAGACAGTGAGCGAGCATGAGGCACAAGAACTCAGTATGACACAGAGCGAATCAGCTGCTGTACTTCATTGAACAGAAAAGCAAAATTCCCCGGAAATCAAAGAAATCTTCAAAGGCAGCTAGCAGCAGTGTTTTAAAAACAAGCCAAGACATTTCAGATTTTATATTTACAATGTCAGCTTAAGTTTTGAGTCTGTCACTGCCATAACTTGTACTGCCCATATTGTATCTTATGTGCTATTAGGAATCAAGATTGAAAAAAAAATTATCCCTCTCAATAAAAGCCTTGAACTGTGATCTAAAATTCTGTCAGCATTTATAAATAAAATAATGGCATTTATCTCTCAGGATGGAATATTAAGGATATTTTTTGAACAACGTGATACAAATTGGCTTTGTAACCAAATTTTGGAAAACAACAGATGATCAGAGTGACTTCAAAAGTTAATGGCGAAGTTCTGTGGTTCCAATCGCCTTGGCCTTGGGATGTGTGGAGCAGGAACAGCTGTGAGACTTAAGGAAAGTGGGGGCACTGCTCAGCGGCAGGCTCCAGAAATAAACGCCCAGCCGGCGTCCCCCACACCTGGAGCCTGCAGTGCCAGTCCTGCCAGGCGCTGCCCTGATGCACAGCTGACTCCTCCTTTCTGTCTCCTCTCTTGTCTCCTGGGCCCCCGGCTTCCGAAGCCCCTCCTCTGTGAGGGCAGCAGCGACACTGGACTAGGAGGGAACAGTGACCTGTGTCACTCCCTGTGTTGGCCCTGTCTCAGCTGCAGTCTGGCTTGGAGCTGCGGGAGGAAACGCACGAGGGAGGAATCTAGGTGCAGGCTGCTCTGTGCGCAAAGGCGCACCAGGAGCCACCAGCCTGCATCTTCAGAAAGCCAGGTGTCCGGTGCCCGGGCCAAGTGGGCACTGCTCCGCCTCCCCAGTTCCCCGCTGGTAACTCAAGTGCTGAACCTCGCTTGCGGAACTGAACCTCCGCAATGCAGCAGGCGAAGTGTGGGTCACAGGCCAAGGCAAAGGTGTGCGCAGCTGACCCGAGATCTGTGCCTTCACAGTCCAGGAGTTTGGAGGCTCTGGGTAGCAGCCTCACGATGTGAATGACAATTAACCCGGTCTCCAGCATACCCACCTCGCGTTTGTTCATCAGCTTTGCCTCATGTGCTCCCTGGGCGCAAAGGACAGCGCCTGGGCAGCTTCTCACCCCTTCCTGCAGCTGAGGGCCTGGCAGAGGGAACCTGCACCCACCACCTCCCTGCAGGCACCGCCTGCTCCGCCAGCTGCACTGCGATGGCAGCAGAAGCTCCCTCACCAGTGCGCCGCTCTCCATAGCCAGGCCTAGGAGACCCTAGCGACTGGGGCCGACTGTGGGCAAGGAGGGAAGCGAGCATTGTCCCAAAAGCAGGACAGCGTGCTCGTGCATGGCCCCCCCCCCGTGTGTGTATGTGTGTGGGTCCCTGAAGAGCCTTCTTTACAGGCACATACTATGGTTGTTCCCCAACTCTGACATCTGCGCAGAATCAGGCCTGCAGTTGCGTTGCTAGCAGACTCTTTCTCAGCAGGTCAAGGGCAGAGCTGTGACCTAAGGGCTGCCATCTTGGTTTTCCTTGAGTCCATAAAAACCAGCTGGTGAGCTCTGCACACCATGGTCAGGATCAGCGCCCAGGGACAGGAGTCCAGCCCACCCTGGGTACAGAGGTCAGAGGTCAGCTCAACCTCCTGACCCTTGGCTGCTCTCACAGGGGTCAGAGGTGAGACCAGCGTCTCCAGCCTCCTGACCCTCAGCTGTTTTCACACCTGGTACACAGCAGAGTCAGCCTCACTGTGAGAGAATCAGCAGAGCAATGCAGGTGAAACAGGGCATTTATAAAGTCAGTGTTTCTTTTTGGTCACTAGGAAAGCATGCATGACCAGACATAGAAAAGATGGACCAACAGGAATCTGGCACTGTCATCAGAAGGAGCCTCCAGGTCTGTATGCAGAGCAATGAGCCCTTTCTGCATTGCTTATGTCAGGGCTGCTTCCTGTGCCCTGTCCTCACCAGGAACCACAGCTTTGGGGCTGCCCCAGGGTCTCCAGCAACCTCGGTTCCAGTTGGCTTCAGGACATCACCCGTTCCTCATGTAGCATCTACCTGTTCACCAGAACCAGATGCACCCTCTGACCAGGTGTCATTTGACAAATAGCAAGAGCAAGGTGCTATTTATGGCTTTTATCATTTACAAAAAGGTATTTTTTAACACAGTGATGAAACACTGTTGGAAGTATAAAAATAAAAATATTGCGATTTCTATTGCAAATGTTCATAAAGTATTTCAAGGTGGACCAAATTCAAATAGAAAGGTATCCAATTATTGATGCTTCGTGTAAGCACAACTTATGTGGGTAATATATAGACACAGGTGGGAACACAGGTATACATCCACAGTCAGCCCCATGTCCTGAGTCTCCTCTCTGTGAATCTGAGCAACTTCAGATCAAAAATAATTGAAAAAAAGTTGGTTCTTTATTGAACATATACAGACTTTTTTCCAGGTTATTATTGATTCAACAATATAGCCCAAAACATATTTACATAATGTTTGTACTTTGCACCAGGTGTTATAAGTAATCAGGATGGTTTAAATATGGAAGAGGTTTCCACAGATTCTTTGTAGGAATTAGGACAATTTACAGAAAAAAGAAAAACTGAGACCCTCAGCCTCTGATGTCTTCAGGGGATCCTGGAGCCAATTCACTCCTGGATATTGGGGGACATATATCTGTATACTAACACACACACACACACACACACACACACACATACACATGTTTGTATATACAGACACAGAAATTGTTATACACTCAATGATTATTTTGCAATATGCTGCTGTGAATCTCTTGTATGCCAACAATAACACACACAGCATATCTGTTTATTTATCATCCATCTGATTATGGGACAGAGTTACTATACAAATTCAGGGACCAGTAAAAATGTTTAAGCTAATATTAGTGAGGTGGACCTGTAAAAAATAGGAAGGATTTTCAGTGTATAGAGGCTGCAAAATCAAGCTAGAAAACACTCAGTTTCACAGGAATGGGAGCATCAGTGGCACAAAGGAGTTTTGTATTCGCAGAAATCACATATGGCACACGTTCACTGCACATGTGAAGGCCAGCCTCCCACAGCCACTGAAGCAGCTCTGCTTCCCACAGCAGCCACCAGCACCAACCACAGTGACCTGCGGTGTCCTCTCCTACCCAGTTGCCTGTCACCCTCATTCGTGCTGTTTTTTTTTTTTTTTGTCTACTTTGCATTTTCCACACCTACCTATTTGCATTTCCATCACTACCTTCCTTCTTCACGTAGAAAAAAAAAAAAAAAACCCTGACTTGATCTATGGAGTCAGTCACTACTATTTCAGGTCCTTTCCCTGTCTCATATATGTCAAGAAGAGCTGAACCTCAGAAAGCCTGCGCCCCAATTTCCTTTGAAGTTCAGGCTGGTTTCTAACTTCACAGAATCACTTTTAGAACTACCAGTTAAATAGTTATGTGAATATGAACTCTCATATGAAAAGTACTTAAATTGATTGCAGGTGCTTGAAATACTCTCACACTTACCATGGCTACTCCTAAGTAATCACAGACATTATTAAACCCGTGTAAATTCAAAGCCTTTGCCTCACACAATGTCAGCAACATCTCCAGAGAAGAGCTACTATCCGAATGCTTTTTCTAGCTTTCCAGACTTATATGTAGATGCATCCAGAAAAAGTCATAATAAAAACTAAATAGTCAGACAGAAAATAGACACCCCTACAGGGTCGGATAGAGCTGGGATTTGGACTGGGTCAGGACCATCTCCAGGCGTGAAGCCCAGTGATGAGTAAGGCTGGAGGACCCAGCCGAGCCCCAGGCAGAAGCAGAGACCTC